AGTTATCAAAATTATTGTCCTTTTTGGGTTACCCTAAATACTAGGTGCCGTATTATAATAAGGACCCAAAAAGGGACCCTAATTTTGACAACCACCCACATGTGTATATATACAGTATAGCACACACATACACATATATACATAAACACATACATACACCCCTGCATACCTTTTTCAGATGCCTACTTACACATGTGCAGCCTACAGCTTGTAATAGGTGGCCACACGTACGTTAACAGATTGAGGTTAATGCTACTTGCACCAAAGCCGGTGCTTCACCTTCTGGATGGAGGGTGAGGACAACAAATAGGTGTGTTTCATGTTATGGGATCAGGGCTTAAAAAGGGGCCTAAAAAAATTACCAATACTATTTTTGGGGCTTCCTTTCTAGAGATATAATAAAATATACCCCAAACCCTATTCCAATTATTCAGGCCCCTACATTAGCCTAAACCCTAAACCCTAAACCTAAACCATATCAGCCTAGGCAGGCCTTTCCGAGATATGAGGCCGCTGAAACCTCCAACGAGATCATTGGCTTGGCCCGGGCTCCCGGCGATGAGATTGCATCTCTTCATCTCCTGCCAGGGTTTAGGGTTTTAGGGTTTACCTTAAACTACCAAGGCCTAGTTTGTTATAGTTTCTTCATGTAGACCCCGATAGGCATGGAATTTCACAAACTAGGTTTTTCTTGTACCCTAAGCCCTAAACCCTAAACCCCAAACCCTAAACCCTATAAACCCCAAACCCTAAACCCCAAGAGGCATCGCATTTGTAGGGTTTAAGGCATCTCCGAGGTCGGCTTGAGAGAAGCAGGGATTGAAACTTGGAGGCCGGGCAGTTAGGGTTTAGGGTTTAGGGTTTAGGGTTTAGGGTTTAGGGTTTAGGCTTTCGGGTTTAGGATTTCAACCCCAGACCTTCCGATATCCCCGTCGTTTGAGGTAGCAGGGATCCTATCATAGTTTCAGGCATATTCCTTAGTTTAAGGTTTAGGCTCATATCTGAATGTTTCGAGGGTTTAGGCTTAGAGTTTTTTTTTTTGAGCACCTGTTTTCCAATCCGCAGAGTTTGCGACTCGGAGATCCCCATAGGGAAGGCTTAGGGTTTAGGGTTTAGGGTGTAATGTAGGGGCCTTATCAATTAGAATCGGGTTTCGGGGGCCCATTATGCAAAAGTGTACCTTCCAATAAAAAAGAGGGGCCTGAATAATTAAACTCGGGTTTGGGGGCCCAGTATACTATAGTATACAACTCATTTGTGTAATTCTTAGAGGGCCCTTAGAGAAACCCTTGTAGATCCGAAACCTAAAACCCTAAACCCCCCAAGATAAAAGCCCTTCCTTTTTTATGGGATCTTGGAAGGTCTGGGTCTCTGAGGTAAGCGAGCCGAGCTAGTCCGAATCGAAAGTCCGGGGCTGCAAGGCTTCAGTTTGGTTTTCGGGTTTTTGGGTTTAGGGTCTCGGATCTAGGGCCCTAAACCCTAAACCCTAAACCCTATACCCTAAACCCTAAACCCTATAGGATTCAGTGGTTGAAGATGTAGGCCAATAGAACCATCTTCAGGCAACTACATCCCAGCCCCGAGCCCTGTCAACCCTATATCCGAATCTGATCAGACTGCCAACCTACACAGTATGGTTTAGGGTTTAGGGTTTAGGGTTTAGGGTTTAGGGTTTAGGGTTTTGACAAGACTGTTGGAAGCAACATCTCACGCACTTCCCTCCAGGGGCAAAGCTTGCGCTCAAGCGAGGACATGTTGGATGTCCTATTGTAGACGTATACAGGTAGAGCATCAGGGAATGCAGCTGGAGTGAACCATTCCAGGTACCCCTCTTGCCCCTCCCCCCAGCGGTTTCCCCCAGACCCCCAGATCCAATAGTCCCAACACCCTTTCAAGCCGACTCTAATTACTACCCATAGGCCCCATAGTAGTTCCTTTTGGGGGTTCATATGTAGAATCCTATAAGGTATCCCCAAAAAGAACTACAATGGAGACGCTATATCCTATAGCCCCCATTCAACTTGTAGTTCCTTTGTTACCCGAAAGGATCCTAAACGTGCCTATAGGGTCTATATTGTTCAGAACCCGAAAGCACCAGCAACCGCAAAACTATCAAGCACCGAACCCCTACAGGCACCAAAACCATAATCCACAAAATCTCACACCCGAAGGCCCCAAACCCTAAAGCCAATAACATCTCCCCCCTCCTGGTCGGCAGAAAGGTCGCACACAGATTCTGCTGTCTCGTCCTCTTCCTGCCCTGCACAAATCATCTGTGCCAGGAGCTTTAGGCCGGGTTGTTTAGAGTAAACGTTCCTTGTTTCGGAGCGGTTCTTTCTTAAACTCTGAGGAGGCTAGGACATGCCAGGCTGCAAAGTAACTTACTGCTAATCAGATAAATACCCGCACACAACGTTGCACGGTTTGACGCTTCAGGCACAGTGGTGCATCCGCTAAGCGCTCACCCCCAATAGGCCTACACCCAAGCAATAGCTGAAGCAAGTCTGAGACATAAGGGGCGGCACTTGAGAGACCAGTGCCAGTTTGGCATTCAAGCGCTTCCCTCACAAAACTTTCTCTCTCTCTCTCTCTATGTACATATATATATATATATATTTATTTATTTATTTATTTATCTATATGTTTGTTCATTTATCTAAGTATTTATGGCGCCCTAAACCCTATATAACCCCTGAACCCCACACCCGTGTGATGAAATCCACGTGAAGCGGCGAGGGGTAGTTTTCAGACGCACGGCCCGAGCCCTTCACCTCAACACCTACACCCCCCTCAGTCCCCGGCAGCCTTAATTCGTGGACCCTAAACTTTTTTGGATACCCTTTAATGTTCCCTAAATACCCGCTATTAAGGACCATAAGGGCTCCAGCAAACAGGCCCTGGAGGTTCTCGTTCTGAGCTCCAACATCTACACCCCACATCCTAAGTTTACCCTTTTTCTCCATTGGAGTTCTTTTTTCGGTTAGCCAGTTTGGTATTCAGGATCCGATAAGGGAGCTGCAATGGAGACGCTAGGCAGGGGTCAGTGTCCAGGGCCGTAAAAGCAGTACGAACAGAGGGTCTCCACCAGGCCGGAAGGACAACCACAGCACATCTCTTTCGGGCTTCGGCTTTTGCTTTTGGCTTTTTTGTAATGCATGTTAGACCCCACCCTCCCGTCGGGGCCAGGGCTTAAATTATGGTTCATCGCAGGGTTCGGTTTTAGGGTTTAGGGTTTAGCGTTTATGGGTTTATGGGTTTAGGGTTCCTTCGCCTACCTCCTGCCAACGAAGACCCAACCCGACGAAGCCCCTATGGTTCCCAGACTCTGTTAGTTAGGGTTCTCCCGAAAAGATCCGGACAATCAATGTATCTTGGGGTCTGTGCGGACGGGCCCTACTGGAACTTCACCCTGGCTTCTGAGCTCCAAGAGGAACCGAAGAAACCACCGGGCACGGTTCATGCAGGGAGTATAAGGCCTAGAGGGGCTACTCAATCAGTAAATGACCCCAGTTACGCATAGGACCCTAAACCCTAAACCCTAATTCCAACGTCGGAGTGTGCCTGGCTGGAAAGAGAAGCTGACGTTCGTGCCACCTTCCATTCCTTGACCTCCAGGGAGCCACGGTTTAGGGTTTAGGGTTTGGGGTTTAGGGGTTTAGGGTTTAGGGTTTAGGGTTTAGGGTTTAGGGTTTAGGGTTCTTACAAATCCCAGGGCTTGTTTTGAAGCATGCCTAAGCCCAAAGCCAAAGCCTATCCGGAGGTAAGCAAAACAATCGGGAGATCGCTGTACAAGAAACCTCTAGCCTGCAAAAGGGAAAACGAGACAAATCTCTGCGAGCCAGCACAAGTAAACTTACAACCACTTCGGAAGTCAGGCGCATCAGGCCTGCCGTTTCTCTGGCGCGCAGCCGGCACATGTTGTTCACCTGGGCCCATGCTTGCCATGGGTCAGACGTCTCCGTTTTTGCAAGATTCTCCGAGGTCGTTTCATTCTTCTGTTCGATGTTGAGGCTGTCTGCATCATAGCCGTGGGCTCAGACGAATCCACCGTCATGAAGGTTGACAATGCAATATTTCAGAGGGATGGAGGTGGCGATGGAGGTCGGTGCCTGATTACTTCCGCCGAGGAGAACAAACGGTCAAAGCGATATAGGCTCGGAAAAACCAGTAAAAACGAATCAACTACCGTCCTCAATGAAATGAGGCAAGCAAATCACAAAAAGCCTGTTGATGTGAATGCGGCCCCTATATTACTGGAGAAGCCTCAACCTCCTCATCACTACTGACTACCACTTCTCTCTCCATTCAGCTTCCATTCAGCTAATGCCATGCTACCATGTGTCCCCCCCAAAAAGCAGCATAGCCCCTACTTACTCCTTAGAACCCCCTACTACATCCTCTTTTATAGAGATACCCTAAACCCGAAACCCTAAACCCCACATGGATCAGGGCTTCTCCTGCCCTGGCTGCCTTTGCCTCGCTACTAGACGTTGTTTTCCGCAGTGAGACAGGCCCAACAAAGCCTATGTCTATTGGTTGCTTAGGTTTCATTATGGGGTTTGGGTTTGGTGGTTTCGGGTTTGTTGATTTTTGGCGTGGGGTGGGTGGGTAGGTGGGTGGGTG